CGGACGTCAATGTCTAAAATGACGGGTGGTGCGGGCGGTTCGGGGGGCAATGACTTCGTTCCTGCGAGTGACGTGCAGATGTACGAGCTGCGCAGGAAGTGGAGAGTGTGGCGTCATGTGACGCAGGGTCAGAGGTTGGGAACATGGGAGAAGAGGCATGGGGATTATAAGCTGCGCTGCAACTATTGCAAGCATGTGTGGCAGAGGAATTTGTTCAAGGCACAATGCCACTTCACGCAATTGAAGGGGTGCGCGGCGGCGACGATGGCCGTCTTTGTAGACATTTGGAACCACACGGATTACGAGTTCGGTAAGCGACATCACCGAGGTATCGTGGCTTACATGAGGGAGCACGATATCGCGGATGGACGAGTTGTGGACGTCCAGCGAGGCAGTGGCAGGGGGAGGACGGGTGCGTCACAGTCGCAACCAGAGGAGCGCGATCCTGTGGACGAGGTACAGGAGTTCTTGGATGAGGAGGCCAAGCGAGCCGGGGCCAGGGAGGGTGGAGGGACAGGCGCAGCACCGGATTTGGCGGGGGAGGAGGTGGTGATGATTGCGCGAGGGAGCAGTGCCGCTCATCATCAAGAGGGGGACGCACCGGGCGCAGCGGGGAAGAGGCCGGTGGCCAGTGGAGTTGAGGGCGTGCTACAAGTGCGCAAGAGAGAGCGGCAGTCCACTCTGGATGAGGTGTACGATCCAGATGGGCAGGCCGCATTCAGGGACACGTTTTTGCAGTGGGCCTACGATAGTGGTATACCATTTGCTGCGTTCAGGAGACAGTCATGGTATAGGCACAAGAAGGCGTTGGCCGCCATGTCTCGCGGAGTGCGGCCTGTCCATCCGTCCTTCAAGGACATTGAGGACGGTGGTATCGATGACCAGTGGGGGAAGGTTGCCGCGATGTTGAGGGAGGTCCGTAGTTCGTTCGAGTCGGTGGGGGCCACCATTTTGTCGGATGGTAGGCAATCGCGAGACCAAACAATCCTGATGAGTCGGTGCAACTCCGATGAAACAATCTATTATGTTTTGTTTTTTTCGCTTTGTTTTTTTTGCTGTTTGTTCTTTTGTCTGCCTTGGTGTCTTGTTGCCGGGCTGTTGTTCTTTTCTTGCTGGGTGTTGTTTGTCTGCCCACGTAAGTGCTGTTTTGTGTAAAGGGCGGTAAAATCATGGTTTGTGTGTTGTTTTCGTAACCTGAAGACCTGTGCATGTTGGATGTGGAATGGTGGTGGAACCTTGGTATTGTCTTTTTATCCTTCGTCCATCATCTTGCGTTGCATGAACCCCAAGGATAC